CCCCCCCCCACCCCCTCTCACCACCCATCCATTATGAACACCACCATGACCATAATACCATCATAAACTCATCCTAAACTAATTCAAAAATGCATTTTCAGAATTCAAAATACATTTTGTACTGGACAAAATTGCACCGCGGGGGCGCTATGCTTTTACCGTGTAGCGTAAAAGGATTAATTATAGTTATTTTTTGATGTTTGTACTTGAAGTCTGGCTGGACCACATTGATGCAGGCAGCATATTTCCACTGTTCTAATGAAGTAATTATTTTTATGATGAAGCAAGCAAACCCTCAGACATTGGTGACTACGAGTGATGTAAGTTTAATTAAGTATTGAATTTTATTTATTTATTTTGGTATATATAAAAAAACCCAAACATATACAAATGGCAGCCTTGGGTAAAATGATTGAACTAACAAAATAACATATAAAAGTACGTACCTAAAATAATTATGATAAGTTACTTACAATTACTAAAAATTACAACAATAATACAAAATTGAAGAAAAAAATTCTAATCAAAATAATCATGTAATTACAAAAAAATTTAAGTTATAACCATTTATTTAATATATTAAATCATAACCAAAAAGATAAATAAACAAACACATAAAATTAACAGTTCATGTAACAATATGTAAATATGAAATAAAAAACATGCACATAGTATTATTATTGTTGTTAATTATCATCATTATCTTGTATTTTTATTATTTAAATTCATGCTTTTAGCATGGCTTTAGCCTTCAGCATGCTCTGGCAAGATCTTGTCTTATGCCAGCAACGAGGCACTTACTGAATCAAACCAATAAGCTTCATATAAACCTAAGGACAAAGGTAAGGTTGAAGAAAATGTATGTAGGGCTATATATTAAATTTATGTAAAACCAAATTATAATATCAAATGATGATGAGGCTAAACAAAATTAATTCTTTGTCTCAAGTTGCCCGCATGCTTTTAAAAGTTATTGTTAAAATTTGCGCATTGAATTTTCGGATTTTGGGAATTTTTTTTCTGTTTTTTTTTTAAACAACTGTTCTGCGAGTCTATCAATAATTTTCAGTGATACAAGCAATGCCTCACTAACATCACAACATGACAGGCTGTGATGTGTTAGGTCAAGCGTCTCGCTACGTCTTTTGGATTGTTTTGTGACGGTACAACGTGACTCTGCATGCCTAGCGATCACAACAGGCCGTGTTGTGTGTCAGTCGAGGAATGTCCCTACATCTTGATGTATTAGTTGGGTATGCGAGTCACTAGGACATTAGTTGAGTAATGGCCATGAATACCCCTCAATGCACAGTTTGATTTGGGTGGGGTGGGGTTTTGGACATAGTGGAAACGTCTATACCTAGATACTTATTACCTTTAGGAATCTTTTTTTGTATTGTTAATTTTTTAATTTTTAAAATTCTATTCGACTTTCCACTGAAATCATATTGATACATATAAAAAACAAAAAATCCAGTGAGAGAATGTGTCAACAAGTGCAACCACCTCCAAACCGACCCATTCTCGATGCACATAACAGCAAATACATAAATATATGTCGAGAAAATATAAGTCAACAAACAAAATTACACAGTTCTACCATGGAGTCTACCTCCATGGTTCTACATAGAGGACAAAAACATTTTGTCGCACAGGTGCATGTGCGGACTGATTGACACTGGGTCAAACTCGTTGATGTTTTCATACATGTTTGCTTCGCCAGATAATATAGCCCTTGACGGAATGGACATCTCTAGGCAAAACAACGTAACTCACATTTTTGTTTATTTTGAGGTAATATCATTTGGCAGATATTAAATACTCCTGAATCGCCTGTCTCGATCAACAACGAGTCATTTTGGAAATAGCACCCACTTCTCTTTAAGCATAAAACTTAAAATCTAGTGATTTCTATGGTAAAACAATGTCAGAAAGATTACGGTGCAAAACAATGTATCTTTGATGTTGGTTTTCAGAAAGGCTATGTTTTCACGAGAGCCCTAGTACCCGGATCGGGAGCTAACCGTTAGCACTAACCGTTAGCACCGATTGGTTAGGCCGATTGGTTAGCACTTACCGTTAGCGGTATCCGGATACCGCTAACGGTTAGCAAGCGCTATCGGTTAGCAAGTGAGCGTGTTTCTATCATCAACCAATCACACATACGCGTTTACATTTTCCAGTTTCTTATTGGCCAGTGATTCGATCATCATATTCTTGGTATCCATATCGGGATCTTCTCGTATGGACGCACGGCAGCTAACGGTTAGCAGGATCCTAACCGGATCCTGCTAACCGTTAGCTGCTGTGTGAGAACATAGCCAAATTGTTTGAGCTGATGGAGAGTTTGGCACAGCAATATCAACAAGTTGATGGTGTTGATATTAACTATCCTAACAAAGTGTATGGACAGGCTAAATAATGCATATGATTGCCCAGACGTGATCCATTCTGAAAATGATTCGCATTTGTGGCAATATAGGTCATTGACAATTTTTAATTTTTCCAATGTAAAAACAAAGTACTGTATCTGTGAATCCTCTAGATATATGGTCCTGCAGAATTTCAGAATGGTATGACAATTTGTTGCAAAGTTGCAAATATGCAAACTTTAACTTTGTTTTTCTCAAAAAGTGAAAATTTCAAGTTATTTGCCTCGTAACAGCCTGGCATTTTCAGCAGTAAAATATTGATTGAATTGATTGCAAGTGTATGTGTTCATGACTGAAAATACAAACAAATTTAAATGTTTACTGTAATCTCTGTTTTATAGAATTTAAGTTCTCCTCTTCACATGTGTATGTATGAGAATGACATCAAATTTGAAGATCGGGTTGGAACAATTAAAGTACTTTTGGACAATGGGGCTGACATCACTGCCATGGACAAGGTAAATTTGTACCTTATATTTAAATTTTCATACACATACACTGTATATGGCTTGAAAACCTAAATGTCATACTACAGTTTAAAATTGAGATGAAAATTGACCTTATTAATCAGTACAGGATACCTATACTTGTACATAATAAATATGATTTGCATTTATTTTCTAAAAAAGAAGTTTGTGGTTGCCTCAGCTTGACTTCTGAAAACATTTGTAGTCAGCCTTTTTTTATATCAAGGAGGAGCACATCCATTATTTGAAAATGCCACTTTCAAGCATTATAGTAAATTTGTTACCAAACAGGATGGTCTTACCCCTATTGAAAAGTGTGAGAAAAATATTTCAAAGTACAGTTGGTATTCTGAAGATAAGAAGCAGGAATTATTGCATGTACTTAGAGGTAAGTAGTAGTTTATGTGAGAAGAGTTATGTGCTTAATTGTCTCCTACTCACTAATGGTACCTGGGTTCTGGTGTGCTGATCCCTGGTATGACTGATCCTGGTTGGTTCATAAACCTTGATTTTGGGTTCTGTTGTGCTAATCCCTGGTATGGCTGATCCCGGTTGCATCTCGTAAACCTTGATTTTGGGGTTTTGGGTTCTGGTGGGCTGATCCCTGGTATCGCTGATCCTGGTTGCATCTCGTAAACCATGATTTTTGGGGTTTTGGGTTCTGGTGTGCTGATCCCTGGTATGGCTGATCCTGGTTGTTGCTTTTCTTCTAATATTTGTTTCTGGGTCCTTGGTGCTGATCTCTTTATATCCAGTATCATGGTTTCTGGTTTACTTTTCAGTATCAAATAAAATCACAGAAAAATTGTAGTTTAATTTTTAATAAAAACTATTGATTGGAAAAATTGATATCTTGAATATTTTAATATGATCAAGTTATTACCTTCGAACCAGAATCAGATCGTAAACATTATTTTTCTTGCACTTACAGCCAAAAAAAAAAAATGTATCCAGTTTAAGGGTCTAATAATGTATGGGGATTTTTTTTTCTCATTTAAATTTTATATTTGTAAGTTAATGGCCTACTCAAATATCCACATACAGTAGCTATTCAATTTGGAAAGACAGATCTTAGACTGCTACCAGATTTACAAATAATTTAATTTTAGAATTTAAGCCAATTGAAAAATTTATCAAAGGCTCTAAAAATCTATCCATGCGCAGTAAACAGCCATGAAATCCATTTATCCAGGTTTGAAATTAACAATTCTAAATATTGCCTTTATATGTGCTTACTTTATTTGAAATAAGCTTTTTTCATGAATATATTTTCTCATATAGGAGAAAAAATTCCTGCAGAAATATTGGCTAGAGGGCCAGATGCACTGAAACAGTACCAAAAAGCATTGGAAGAGGGACAGAGTGACTACAACTTTGTTAGAGTCATGGTAATGGGACAGGAAAATGTTGGCAAAACCTGTCTCATTGACTCTTTATTAGGAAAGAAGTAAGAAATCAAAATAAAAATAATAATATTTATTTGACATTTCACTTTTAATCAGTGACAGCACACAAGAAAGTGGCACAGTCAATTTTAAGCTATTCGAAAGAAGAGAAAAACAACAACATGCTCAGAGAGTTTTGCCTTAAGTTGGCCAGCACAATCTTGTGAAGACTGTAGTGCAACGAGATACATGTGACATAATTGCTTTTAATGACCACCTAGAGCGTTTTTCTGCTAAATAACTCCAAAATATTGTTTTTTTTTTCAACTGTTAAATTCCTTCTGAACGCGTTTCTAGTGAAAAGTGCAACTAATAAAAACATGGTAATGTGAGCATTGGCAGGTGAATGGAGCTTATGATGATGATCACCAACAGAAGTTGACCTTACTTCCTGTGAGCTACATAGCATGCTACGAAAGAAGTATACAACACACCGCGAAAGTATGAAAAAATTATGGTAAATCCTGAAGCATGTCATCCTGTCGGTTTATTTTTTTCTTCACCTCGAATTTCCCACGGATGAGTGATCAAACCAATGAAGAGGTCAATTTGGGTCACCGATGGGTCATGACCAACACGGTATTGCGTTGCAGCTGAAAAGTGTACCACAAAACACGTTTTCTAAACGCCAACCCTATAACAAATGCGTGTTAAAACACATGTTTTAAGGACAACCGTTTAAAAACACGTTTTTTTTTGCTCATCAGAAACAGGCCCCTAGACTACTGTGACCAACAATCAATACACTGATGTATTGTTGAGCAAGAACTCAACAAAGATCATGAACAAATTAGTCGCTGTTGGTTGGTCAAACTATTTACATAATGACAATACATTTATAGAACATCACAATTTTATTCTGTAACAGGCAGGTGTAGTTGTTCTTAAAATATTGTACAATACAAAAATTCTACCATTCTACAAGGGTGATGTTGGTTGCATGTTTGCCCACCCACAGTGTACTGTAGTGAAACTATATGACCACTCTTATTTTATTTAAAGTTTCAATGAAAAACACATAATCACTGATGCCATAGCAGTCACAAGAAGTTGTGTATGTGACGAAGCAGATGATACCAACTGGAAACAAGTTGATGTTTGCAAAAGTAAGATTTAATATTTCTTTCTCAAATGTATTTTAAGGCAATTCGAACAAAACCACCAAGATCAAAGTACTGTAGCTATGAATCTGTCAAGCCCCAAACTTTAGGTTTTTGGAGAATGTTTAATGGCCAAAGTAGAGTCAAAAGTTTAGCAAAAGTGGGAGTCGGGGTGCGAAATTCCCAGACTTTGGTATTTAAAAAAATACAGTTTTATCACTCTCTTATCAGTGGCCCTGGCCTCTACAGTACAATGTTTTAGGTGGTTGAGTGACAGGATATTGTGGAGGCGAAACACTCAGAAGCTTGGTTTTTTAGGTACAGTAGTTGATGTTAATAAATAGGTGTCCAAATGTTGTCATTGCTATTATGTGATACACATTTCCCGGGCTCCCTGTCTTGATGCTGCTGTTTCGAAATAAAAGAAAGAACAAAGTGAGTGGTTGTAGTATACTACCTACCTTGAGGTTGGGAATTTAAATCTCAATGCTTGAATCCCACACTTTCCATATACTTGCTTCCTTTCATTCTGGTACAGTATCTCAAGTTGTCTTAAATATCGTAGGGAGTTTATTGTAATTAAACTATAGTAATTATGTTGTACTTTGATTATTGGAGTATATTTATTATTATTATAAAGTTGTTATGTATATTGTTAATATTATTGTATTGTTATTTTTGTCCATACTTTTTTACAGCTGAAATGAAGGACAAGCATGAGAATGCTCTTGCAACAAGTATAGCCAAGACTTTACTAAGAAAAAAGGTAAGTTGAAGGTATGGTAATTATATACATTAAGCAGAATTCAAGACAAAATGATAACAGTAACAGTATGCAGTAGCAGCAGCAGCAGCAATAATTTATATAGTGCCACTTCCAAATCAATGATCAAAGGCACTTCAGTGTCTCTGGTTACTGGATAACATACAATGCCAAACAAGCACGAAGTGCATCCTTCTTCCTTAAGGATATACATAGTGTGCATGTACTCGGCGCACAAATCTACTGCATCAATGCCACAACATTCTACCATGTACCCCAGGGGCGGATTTAGCGGGGCCGGCCCGGCCCCGGCCCCCCCCCCCTTTTGGGAAGTAAAAAAAGAAAAAAGAAAAACAAGAGGGAAAAAGAAAAAAATAATAGCCCAGAATGTCTCAAATGTTATGTTCGGGCCTCTAGAACACAAAAATTCCACGGGGCATGCCCCCGGACCCCCTACGACAGTGTTGGCTCAATCGGCCCTGCACGGTGAGAGATTAAAACCCTTGACCTCAAGCTTGAAAATCCAAGCCACAAATGTTGCTCTTCTGAATTGCAATGACAGACTCTAAGTAACCATACTATTGGATTTTAAAATAGGAAAATGATTTAATGTACTGTCAAGCTTATTTAACACATTGTGGTTAGCTAAGTTGCAAACTTATAGCAGCCATCATTAACTTAAAGGATTTTGATAGTGAGTATGATCCTGGAACTGTTTTTCATGGCACTCTTTTGTGAGTCATGTTTAATAATTTGTATGTGGTTGGGGCACATATGACGACCAGAAACAAGTTTTGCAAACTTCAGCTATTTAAAATAGGTAAGATGACAATAGTTTTTTCTTTTATCACTTTGTATTTATAGGAAGTTGTATCAAGTCCAGAATACACAGGTACAGTATGATACGTAATGCAAAATTTTATATTAAAATTGAATAACACCTATTGGTTTTATAATCAGTTGCCCAATATATTCGTCATTCATTTTTTGAAAGTACTGTTGATTATACAACACATACAGTAATTTGATGGATTTTTTAAATTTGTTTTTTATTTTTTATTTGATTTTATAGAAAATCAGTAATTTGTTAATTTATCATCACCAAGACTTTTTTTTTTTCCAGTGAAATTTTTCTATTTCATTCCATGCACTTATTTAGAGATAATTCATATTCTATTTGACCTACTGTAAATTTGAAGAAAAAATAGATATACTGTATATTGAAACTAGAGCTAAAGAATGATGATATAACCTTGGACCTATTAATTATAAATATTAATATTAATAGGTCCATGATATAACTATCCATTTGCAGTTTAATTTATTTAGAAAAAAGAAAGTTGGTTAGTTTTATGCAATTAGAGTTTTCCATGCAATTTTATATATAATAATAATTTTCTTTTTATCAAGTCACCTCAACAAGACCCATGTTACATTTAGTATCTGATAGTACATTATGAAATTGCTATTGTTCTACCTATGGCCTTTGAAAACTCCTTATATGTAATGCTCATTTGAGCACTAATATATTATTAGTGCATTGAAAACTGCTAACTAATGTAATTGGTTATTCATTATTTATTTGGTAGTTGAGTATTATTGATTTTTCAATGAGTAGTTATCTTTGACCTTGTTACCATCCTTTGTTTTCAGAAGTAGAGAGTCAAACGAATGGTATTGAATCTCAAAAGACATTGGAACCAAGTGATGATCAAAAGAGTAAACTTTCTGACGATATTTTGTTAATGTACTTATATAAAACTAAAATAATACTTTGCAATAAATTGAAATTTAAATTTTTTTTTTTTTTTGCCAAATGAAATAATTTATAATGTCTCTATTATGATATACTCAAAAGGTTTGAATTAAGTGACTATTTATTTTATATTCCTTTTAAGATATACTGTCATTTTTATCAAATATTATCTTGAAAAAATGAATTGGCAAATTTATATATTTTGACTGTAAATTAATAATAAAAATGTTCTTTTTTTTTTGGCCATGTAGCATATATGGTTCTTTAAACAGTAAAAGTTTTATTTGGTTTTTTTTTTCTGGTTTTTTGGTGGTAGTATATTTTTAATAAGTATCCATCCATTATTTTCATCATTTTTATAAGAGCACAAAAAATATGCTTGGGAGTGGGAGGACTGGTCAGGAATTAAAAGTGTATGTTCACATACAAAAGTGGAAAAAATGAGTGGCCACAGAAAAGAGCATGTTTTCAACTCTCTTTAAAATTATGAAGAAAGGGATTACCCAAAAATTGTTTTTACCTTTTTTAGGAGAACAAAGTCAAGTATATGGTATAGAGTCTCCAAAAACACTGAAACCAAGTGGTGACTTAAAGAGAAAAATTTGTAAAGATGGTATGTTTTTAATGCTGGGCTCTTGCTGTGCCCGAAAGTCATTGACCGGAACGATTTTGTGGAGGACGCATGGCACAACAGATAATTTTTAATGACGATCCATTCAGTCTGTCGCCAACAATCAGCAGATGACATCACAATATATCGCTCACATCGAGCGATGTTTTTATTTATTTTCATGAATACTGTATTGTATAAATGTTAAGGAAAATTGTTCATCGATATTGATCAATATAAAAAAACAATAAATAAAATAGATCACAGTAGTTAAAAAAATATGGTGAAAATTTTCTCTTTTGTTATGCTTAGTAGTATTATTTATTGAGCTGTTATTATATATTTTCGTTAATTTATAAATATGGTGTTAATTTGTACTGTTATATATTTGCAAACTGGCCAGTAGATGGAGATCGTGTTTCAGCAGGAGTTTCAGGAGAAAACAAGAGAAGTAAAACCCAAACCAATGGTGCAACATCTCAAGTAAAAATTTGATTTTATTTTTTTAAATTCATTTTTTTTTAAACTAAGTACTGTAGTTATATAGCTGTGTTAGTCTCAAGTAGATATTAGGGAACATAGAAGGAGTTAGAACGCAGAACGTAATGGTGCCATGTTTAAATAACTGTTTTTTCCTTATTTGTGTCGTTGCAGGCTACTACATCAGCATCATCAATAGAAGGTATGGTAGAACTATTGGATCTGTTGTTACTAACCGCTAACCATCAATTATCACCCACCACTATAACTACCAACCACTTTCCTATATTTTTATATTTTCTAAAAATGGTAAAGTTTTTCTAATTTACTACAGCTAATGGACAGCCACAAACAATGAAACAGTATTCACAAGATATTAAAAGAAAGGTTGTGCAAGTTATGGAAGGAGCTTCAATAATTGATAATTCATTCAGGATATGGGACTATGGAGGACAACCCATCTACCATACTATTCACAGGGTATGTATTATCATTGGTGGCGGAAGCTGTCCGGCAGTTCAGGCAGCCGTCTGACCAATATTTTGCCGAGATAAATATTTTATTGGAAGCAGGGGCTTAGCCAGAAAAATGAAATAGGCCGTCCAAAATGGATGCCAGTGGGCGTGGCCCTGAGCTGATGAGCAGGCCATGCCCACTCGAGGCCACGCCCCCTCCCAAACATACAGTAAGAATTAGCTATCACAAAAATATTTAAGTTACATACGTCGATTGCGAATAGCTACGGTATTTCTAGGCCATGTATTGCATCTTCATCTCTCGCCTTTAATAGTCTAGTGTAAATTCTACTCTAGGTCCTCCGAATCGAGAGATAGGCCTAGACCACTGTGTTTTGTTAAATTCAACTTGTGAGTTTAACAAATCTTCTTAATGATATTTCATGAATTAATTATAACCAAAGTGTTACGAACACCAACAATATTATGATACGAATCTCAAGTATTGTATTTGCAGAGCCATGTGCATGTGACTCAGAACCGTCTGTTTTCCAGCGGGGTATAAATGTTTTTAACACGAGGCGTGTTGTAAGTGGACTTTTCACCGGGTTGTAGGCAATGGTTAAGCCTTACAATTTTGGGAATACCCACTGAATATTGGTATGAAAGCATCACATACATTCAATCAATGTTGTTTTTAAACAACATAAAAAACAAACAATAAACATAAACAATGTTGATGTGATTAGAACAGAAGACTATATACATGTATTTTATTTTTATTTTTTTATTTTATTTCAATTCGCATTCAACAGAGGGTGTCCCACCACTTACAAAATGGAAACAAAAAACAGATACAAATAAACAGATATAAATAATTTAAATAGTCACAAAAGATAACAAAACTTACTCTAGTATATGTAAATATAAGTACTTGGGTGTAGAAATCGATGAAATATTAAACTGGGACATATAATACATGTTAACCCTCTATGCAAAAGGAAGGCATCGTCTGTTTTTTCTGAGGAAACTCAGCAAATTCAATGTTGGAAGAGAGGTTTTATCTTTATTTTATCAAAGTTTGATTAGTTCTGTTATGTGTTTTGCTTGTGTGACATGATTCTCTGAACTGACCATTGCAAATACAAATAAATAAAGTAAAATAACAAAGGCAGCCAGTAAAATTGTAAACGAAGATCAAACCCCTGTTGCAGAAATTCATGAAAAGGCTCTTGTTAAAAAACTAAATGAAATAATTGTAAATGGTAATCATCAACTGCTGTATTAAAATCAACAAATCAGGTCGGCTTGCCCAGTCAAGGCAAAGAACCAACCGTTTAAAAAATTCTTTTGTACAATTTGCTATCAGTCATTTTAACAAAAACTTTAAAAGATAGGCCCTCTTTTTTAATGATTTTTAATGATTGTCATATTTTTATGAATTGAAATTTTAAACTTTTAAAAATTTTAAATTTTTTTATGCCTAATTTTTGGAATTTTCCTTGTTTTGTGTTGTGTTGTGATTTCTCAGATATTTTAAAATATTTCCATCATTATTAAGACTAATATGACTTAATTTGTATCATTTCTAGTTCTACATGACTCCTGAAGGAATATTTGTGATTGTTTTTAATATCGCTGATGACCTTGATGCCTGCTCAATAGTTGTAGATTCATTCGGAGTAAGCACTTTTTCAATTTTATTAAACTGTGAATATAAGAACCATAATTTCTTCCTCAGATTTATACTGTAAGGAGAATATTTTTGTTATCAATGGTGACCTACTCTGGCAAAACCTGACATTGATATCAGAATATTCAGATAATCAGTATTTTGGCCAACATCAGGTTGTTCCTGTTTGTGGTACTAGATAAAATTTCTACCAAGAAAATCAATTACTAAATCTAACTGAAAAATATTAATTTTTAAAATACACACCTCATTATTAAACCACTGACTTGGGAATCGTTGAAAGCTATTTTCTCTAAAATTACTTGGTTGATATCTGTCACACGGGTAAATAATTACAAATTCAATTTACCATTCACAGATTTATTTTGCTTTGTAACCCTCATCACCATGTAATAACGAACCATACTTAATATGTAAGCATAAATTGAACATATAGAATGGGGGTGTTGTACCAATTTCCGGGAGACTCCGTGACTTGTGGGTGACACTTCTGTGGCTTCCTAAAAAAATGTGACTGGTTCTTGCAAAACCTTGGGTAAAAAGCAAAATTCAGCTGTATTAATATTGTTATTATTATTTAATTCATTGGATATTGTCACGTTAAGTTATGTGCTATGGTATTTTATGCCATTGTTACATGTACAGGTGCCACGCACCTGTCTCTTATACACATCTAGATGTGTATAAGAGACAGCATCAAACATGTGGAAATAATTTTAAAATTAAATATGTGTGGGAGTTATTAAAGTAAAATTAAATGTTTATATCGCTTACTTTGTATATTTAAGACATTTTTATATAACAAAGCTTGAAAATATAAATTACTATACTTTTATCAATTATTTTTCAGCTTTTTGAAACAAACAGTTTAGTATTACCTGTACATCTTTAAACAGGCTGGTTGTTTTCCATTGATTTTTGTAGGTACAGAAGAAGTTTGACAAAATTCGCAAAGCAATTGAAGACAAGTGTTATGAGTCTCATGTCTATGAGACATACTTTGCTGTCGAGAACAAACTTTCATCTTCAGATGAAAGAATCAGTCAGCTCAAGAAAATTATTCTTGATATTAAAGACAAAATGAAATACTCAATTCCACACAAGTGGCTCGAGTTGTTGATAGCAATTCAGAAATTAAGTAAAGAAAATGTGACTCTTACTTTGGCAAAGGTATGTATGGGATTTTAATATTTTATTTTGTATTTCATGTTTTATATTAGATATACAAGCACCACTTCAACAATTGATGATGTTCATACAGGCGCTGTTGATATTAACTTTTATATGTGCCTCCCTTCACAGTTTCGCTATATGTTTTTTGGTTTGTTGTATAGTATAAGTTTAGTTTGTTTTTAATGTAATTTTTCTTAATTCCAAGTTTTTAAAATGCAATTCATATGGCTTGCCTTTTGACAATAAATGAAATTTGGATCTGAATGTAATTTTGCAAGAGAACATTAAACTTAGTTATATTGAACTGGGTGAAATTACATATGTGGCAAAGGCAAGCCAAACCAGTCACTCGTCGCAAATTGTGTTTCAGAGAAAATAGCAAAAACATGCTAGAATGTAAAATTTTTAAAAATCTTTTATTTCACTAAACTAAGGTTTATGTATTTATACATCATGCTGTGCTGTTATTTTTCCCAATTTCAATGTTAAGACAACACTTTTTAATGATTTTATGATAGTTTTTGCATGAGAAATGCCTGAAATCATAAACTTTGAAGGCTGATTTCTCATATATTGTTCTTCAAACAGCTGTACGCTTAAATGTTTGTAACTTCAGAAGGAAATGTCAGATTTGAACGATTTTTTTACCATTTTATAGCTCTTATTTTACACTTTAACTCTTTATTATTAGCTCAAAATCGATTTGTGCGACGAGTGACTGGTTTGGGATGTCTTCGCCACATATACAATTCTTGGATACCGATTGCAAACTGCTACATAGAACAATATATTCTGAACATTTTTTTGTTAATTTTAACTTTTTACAACAAAGTAGAGATAGTATATAAGTAGGAGTGTTTCCCAAAATAATCTGAAATTCATTTTACTATTATTCCAAACTGAAATTAGGATTATCTAATTATTTTCTAAAATAATTGTGATATTTTCTAATTTCATTAAGGTTAAGTCACTAGCAATGAAATGTGGAATTTCAGACGAAAAAACCATTCACATTGCAATCACATACTTAAGTGATGTGGGTGAAATCATGTATCACCCAACAGAGGAAGTACTACGGGACATTGTGGTGGTTCGACCACTTGAGATTGTTGACTATGTGAAGACTGTGTTTACAGCCGTAAAGCCTGCACTGAGGGTGAGATATCAACTCTTTTTTTTTTGACGTTGAGAAGAGCAAAGATGTTGTTTTCTAGATTAAAGCACTCAACAAGATGCAGCTAAAGTTTTAAATGATAATAATAGTGTAGATTTGTATAACTCTCGTATCCATCAACCAAGATGTTCATGGCGCTTGATATGTGGACTAGTAGATCGTTCAGTGACTTTCATCACCCTTAAGGGTCCCTTCATGTTTATGCCGGTAGCAGCAACTCTTGTCATCCACCACAAGGGCTGTCTGTACCAGTACACTGGGGTATTCCCTACTCGCCTACTGGGTTCTTTTATTACACACATGCCATTCTGCACACTGGACCATATAGTCCTCATCCGAGAAGGCTTGTTCTATCACCAGAACCAAGAGCCTGTTGTTCAAACCAGCGCTGATATCATGAATGTAGGTTGCGGTGCCCCAGCCTTAACCACTTGGCCAATCAGCTCGTCAAATAAGAAAATAAATAAGACCGGACTAACAGGCCTGAGAGCCATAGTGTTTTTCACACTATAGTTATTCCTAGCCATCTTAGGTTATATATTGTCTTAGTTTTTGTTAAATTTCCTTTCATTGTATTGTATGTTATTTCATTGGCTGAATAAAGAATGAATGAATGAAGAATGTCATGAGCCACTGTAGCAGTATGGGAATTATAACAGGATAGGAAAATTAAGCACAAAAGAGTGGTTCAAAAGCTCCATAACAATAGAACTCTTATATTAAGTTGCCAACAATCCGATTTTATCTGCGTTCCATGTAAGCGCTGGAAGACTTGATAGCAGTCCGCTGGTAATTGGTCACAATCTTAGCTAATAGTTAGAAATGATGCATCAAGCAACTATGCATTGTTGCATTGCGTTTTCACATAAAAACAGGTAGGAAAGTATTCAACTTTAATGCTGGGGCTTCATTCAACATTTGACCATTCACTCCTGTAGGTCTGTACATACCATTAATATTAGTAGATGCAGTAATGATAATTTATATTTGAAAATTTATAAACATTTGATGTTTTTAAAGTCCTCACTGCATTGTATTTTTTTTTTTTTTTTTCAGAAGGCAAAACTAAAGGAAGATTGGAGGAAATTGGAAAAAGGTGTTCTAACGAAGGGACTTCTTAAGCATCTTTGGAAGGAATTTCCAATATTCCAAAATGACACCAATGAGAAAATGTTTAATTTTTTCGTCAGGTTGATGAACAAATTTGGCCTCATTTGTCAAAAACAGGTTGGTACAGAAGTATGTTCACATTAGTATTAATTGATAATGCACTATTAGTATTTCAGATGAGGGGTATTCTGATTTTTGTGTAAAGAGACTTTGATTGCATATGAATTGGTTAATGATAATAATTACAATATTAATCAAAAATAGATAATACAACATACAGAAATAACTAATTTGTTTTTTATTAGCTTGTTGGGAGAGGGGAACCTACATCAGTGATAAAAGTGCTTTTCACTCTGGCTGTAAATGTTACACTTCCTATAAAACAATATTGCATAACAGAGTATACTGTAAAATATATATGAAAAACCAACAGCATGAATTCTCAATTGTGGTGTTGTTGCTGTTGTTGTTGTCATTATTATTATTATTATTATTATTATTATTATTATTATTATTATTATTGTTATTATTGTTGTTGTTTTCAATTCTGGGAATTAAATAAAGTAAAGAAATTGAAACAAAATTTACGTAGTGGAGTTACATTTATTATTTTATTTCTTTGGATAACAATAAAACTCATTACTATGTTTTTTTCTTTAGTAATCAAACCTTTCTCCTCCTCGCTACTTCCTTTGCTCGCAACAGAATACCAATTCAGACGATATCTCTTACTATGCTGTTTCACACCTGCAACCTGAAAAACATTCAGAGATTCCAGAAGACGACCAAGGGAATGACAAAGTATCCATCTTCCATGACTTCTGTGGTTTTCTTCCGGACCATTTATTCACATTGGCTGTCACTAGATTCATAGAGCAATTTCAGTTAAAAAGTGGTCCCGAACCTAAACTTGCATATGAGCATGCAGAGCTTAGTGTTGATGATTGTCATTTAGTGAGGATATCAGTTGCAACTATCAGCTATCGTCGGATGTTTAAGGTACATCCAGTTTTACATGTTGCCTTCCATAGATTTTTTTCAATTTCATTTCAGCCATCTGTGCCCAAACAATCCAACAGTCAATTGTTTCACATAGAAGGAACTGGTACTAATATTTTGTTGTTTTTAGACTCTTGGAAAATTATAAACCTCATCAAATTTTCTTTTGCAATAATAAGTAATAATGACATTTTACAAGAGAGCTGCTCGCGACACATTTCCACCTGCGGCCTTTTCATATATTTTTTAACAAATTAACTAGCAGGGGAAACAGGCAAAAACAAGTGCAAAGACTCCCAGGGGTCATTTATCCATCACCGTGTTCCTAAACCTCTACCTAGGTTTTTATGTTTAACCATAGTATACAGGTTTTTTTAATGTTACTGATTAATTTAAGGAAGTTAGTATAATACAAGATTCATGTTTTTCTGCAGACAACCATTGTCAGAAGACAACAGCAGAAACCAATACCTGAATCATGTAAAAAGGTATGAAATGTTTTTTTTTTTCCCACCAACAGTAGGTGTTATAAATGAGTACTTTCTCATGTGGTGTTAGTATACTCCACATTGTTGTATAATTACCGTAGAGAATTCTCCTGACGATTTGCTTTTTTTACTAATCGCTCGGCCAATCAGCTCGTCAAATAAGAAAATAAATTAAGAATTTGGCATGAGCCACTGTAGCAGTATGGGAATTATAAAGGACAGGAAAAGACAAAAGATTGGTTTTCCCAAGATCCATAACAATAGATCAACTCTTATAGGGTGCCGACAGTCCGATTCCATCTGCACTCCATGTGTGCGCTGGAAGACTTAATGTCTGTCTGCTCTGGTAATTTTAGCGAGTCGTTGAAAAAAAGATACTTTATTCATTGTTGCATTGCATTTTTACTTGGAATCGGCAAGTTAGTGTGTGCCTGGCATAAAAACAGATAGGGAAAATATCATCCATGTATTCAACTTTAATGCTGTGGGCTTCATTCAATGTTTGACCATTCCAGTAGATCAGTTGCATACCGTTAATAATAAATAATTTCTGTTTGAAAATTTGTAAACCTTTGATGTTTTTAAAGTCCTCACTGCATATATAATTTTTTTTTCAGAAGTCCGGTCTAAAGGAAGATCGGAGGAAATTGGAAAAAGGTGTTGACAGAAGACAAATGCATGAACCAATACCTGAAACATGTAAAAAGGTATGAAATATTTTTTTTCCCCACCTAGTACAGCAGGTGTTATAAATGAGTACTTTCTCATGTGATGTTAGTATTCTCTACACTGTTGTGTAATTGGAAAATTCTGACCATGAATTTTAATGCTTTATGTGGAGATGCGATATTTTGATACCTGACCTTTGACATCTAAAATTCAATGAATTCGCGTTTTAGCCTAACAAACAATTCCTAATATTTCATTACATTATGTACTGTACTCAGCGTTTGATTTCCAGCATCTTTTGTGTGTATCAAAAACTGCTATGCACTTTTTGTTTTGTGTAGCAATTCCAAAATTGTGTATATCATTTTTTTCTGCGGTGATAATGAATAATAAAATATGAATATGAATATATTATATAAATATATATTAGGTATATGAATAATAATAAATAAAGAAATGACACCTTTTATAAGCCGCACCCCTAGTTATTAAGCGAAATATGGCGATTTTTTTTGTCACCTGTTTATGCCGCACCTATTTTTAAGCTCCAAACTGTTCCCATAATGTTAAGATTTTAATTATTTTGAAACATTGACATTATTTACAAATGCTCACATAAAGAAATTTAAACTTTTTCAGCCAATTATTAAACAAAGAAACAAGAAATGCGTGTAAACTTCTGGCTACTGCAATGAAACAACGTATTCATACTCTCTCTAGGGAAATCCCAATTTCTCGCGCTAGACCACCGTCATGCTGCGTAAATTTTCAACATAAGTTAAAATCTAATAAAATGCTTAGTGAGTATATTTATGTATTTCAGTCAATCATTCTATTATGGTGGTGGCTAATAACAGTCGGTTATTTCAATCAATCATTCTATTATAGTGGTGGCTAATAACAGTCGGTATTGAGCTAAAATATTGGTACAGTAATTCTTTGCTTAAGGCATTACTACTCACGGCCCACTGTGCGAAGCATGCACCATCACGCACCACAATTTATAAACAAAAACAGAACTGGAGAAATATGGTACAAAGTTTATGCATAGGCAGATGACGTATGCCTTACTACAGTTAAATTCCAGTAAAAAAAATTATTACAACTTCAAGAAAACTGGTTTTTTTTTAGAATGCATTAATTTTTTATTCCAAAATCATAACACTGCATATAGCAATAGCGGTATCATTTTTTCCATAACGGTACTAACGACATCGTAAATGAAGCTGCTCACGTGACTTCGAGGACCAAACTGCCAAAACATAGTTTGTTATTGTTTGAATGAAGCGGGTTCAAACAGAAACAATGTGTTCCAAAATTGTAGGAATCCTAGTACAGCACTGTAGTGAGTATAATTACAAATACAGTAAATACTAGGCTTAAAAACTGGTTCTACCCAAGGCTAATAATATGAATTGGGCCAGCCTGAGCCTAACCTAGACAGACGGCACCTGCTTTTCGCCGAGGTTAGCGATCTGAAATTTTTGGGAGAAGGTTATGACCAGTGTGTATAGGCAGCATCCCTAATTTTGGGGGGAAAATCACATATAAAATTTGCGGCTAAACATCGGAATAATTTATATGGAGTTTGTCTGTTTTTTGGGAGCATGGTACCTGGCTCTGAGATGCAAATGCAGTGTTGTTTCCTTGTATATCCTTGTATTTGTCATTGTCACTGACTAGGTACAGTACATCAGACTTACTAATTTCCATTTACTTTTGTTGGCCTTCCAGGTATTACTGTTTCTGCAATCTGTGTTGGATTCTTTGTGTAAAACATCTACAAGAGGGATTCAATACAAAATGTGTGTACCATGCAGTTGTAGTAAAAGATTTGAACACATGATTTTTGTGGAAAATTTCAACACAAAAATGGTGCCATGTGGACTACTTGAAATAAATATTGAACGCCACTACAGATTGTTTGGAGGTACAGTAGTGTTTTAGATTTACAGTAGAAGAAAATGAAATAACAATCACATATGCATTATATTTACAATTTATTGTAATGGATAATAATTTTAAATTGTGTTTTTTTTAGATGAAAGTTCTGTTTCAACATCATTGGGTATGCAATGTAAGTATTGTTAATGGCAATATTTTAAAATAACAATTTTTAAAAAAATACCTTCCCAATTTGAAATGGTCTACCTGATTTTTTCTTAGGTTATGTGATACAGTCAGGCAGTTCAATCTCCATCTAAAAACACTTAGGCTGCTTTCAGACTTGCAGATAAGTCAGGCTTACGTTAAGCCCGGCTTAACTTTGCCGGGCGTTAAGACTAGCTGGATTAGCCAGGCCGAGAATTTGCATACTAATGAACCAGAACCAGGAAATGAGTTTCTAAACATTGTACACGAAACGTACGCTCACACACAGCACACGTAATCGAATGCTGATTGGCCATTTTTCTACTTGAAGTCAAGGCAAGATCCCCTGCAACGATCAAAGCCCGGCTTAGAAAAGTTAAACAGGGTTACACGCCAGACCTAGTTGCTATAGGAACACAGCCCGGCTTTAGCAAAGCCACCTAGTTCAGACTGGAACGTGGATAAACCCAGTGAGTTAAGCTGGGTTTATCCACCAGGTCTGAACTAGGCCTTACTTTAGTAGAGTCCAGTCACCTTGTTTCAATTTTTCAAAAAGATCATCTTATTTGTTTATTATATTGTCAGTGTTTTATGCTTTATTAACTATCCTGCATCATTGGATAGTTTATCATGCTTAGGTGGGCTAGGTCTCTAATGCAAGGTTTGCTCTAGAGGATGTTTGACACTATTGAGGAGAGTGGTTAAGCATTTCATAGCAACAAAATATTTATACAAGCAACACATAACAATGTAATAAAAAAGAAAAATATGTTCATGTTCTTGATAGTTTGTTAATTTGTCAAAATATCCTAATAATCTTGAAATATATCTTGATATATACTTTGTGATGTTTGTTGTTTATTCGCTTTGTGTATTTCCATCCCATTTTTAGGCCCATTAAATGAGGTCACATTGCTGGATATATGTAAAGAATTGGGTACAGATTGGAGAAATGTAGGATACCATCTTGGAATTACCCATCCAGAAATAAATCGTATTTTAATAGACTGTCAGTACAATTACAAAGAGGCCCAAATGGAAATGCTGTTAAGGTGGAGGAACAAGCAGTCATCAGATGTGAACCAGTTATCTGTATTGAGTGATGCTCTAAAGAAAGAGAATTATGTCCAGATTGCAGAAAGATTAATGGGCATAACTGGTCACTCGGGTAAGGTTTAAATAATTTTGATGAACAAATGATAATTTAATGCATAAGATCTTTTTTCAATTAATGTACAGGTAAGGTGTCATGATCAATTGAGTTTAGTACGCCAGTTGAATTTGATACAGTTATGTTTGTCATAATATGACAAAGTATTATTTTGACAAAAATTCAGTTTTAGTGTTTCTTTCATGAAAGCAGTTTTTTTAGGCATATTTTATAAATACTGTATCAAAAACAGTTAAAACAGGAATAAATATTTCAAACATCTGAATTTAAAAGGATCCTGCTCTGTTTGAGCTGTCCCTGTTGTCGAGGGGAAAATGACACAATTAGTCAATGAGAAAATGTTTGTATTAGTAGAATCTAAAGGCCAACTCAGACAGCGTTGTACGGCATAGCCTGATGCGATTCGTTGACGCGTTGGGTCTGCGTAAGTTAAACACAGATGCATTGGTTAAGACTGTCCCTGACAATGAATCATGTTGGGCTGCGTCATACAACACTGTCTAGGTTGATCTTTAAATGGATTATAAGCCTTAGTTTGAAACCCCTAAAATCCAGTGTTGCATTAGGATTAGTAGCCATTAAACACCTTAGGAAGTGGAATTCACTACAGTATTTCCCATCAAACCATGTATTTTTAAAATACAGTAAAGTATTTTGAGGGTGGAATTTTGCACAAATAAACGTTGCAAATAAATTGGTGTTTTTTGTGGTACCTGATAACTGGTACACTGTTGTTTACAGATTTAAGATGAGTGTTGTCAGAATAAATTTTGCCAACCTAACTTACAATATCACTATTGAAGATTTACAGTGTTTCCTATCACTCACAATAGGATTATTAGTCATGTGGAAGGCTATTGTTTTTACATATGTTCTTCATGCTGTTGTTGTTGTCGTCGATGTCGATGTGGTTGGGTTTAAAATTGTTTTTTTTTACTGTGATAACTTAAGTTTGGTAGTAGTCCGATTGCAGAAACTTGGCAGAATGCAAGATGGCAATAAAAAGATGGAAGCCTTTTGTCTGGTACATGTGTGAATATGCTAATTGCTCATTTGCTTAATTAATATTTCACTAATTAGGTAATTTAGGCTAGTTACCATGGTAACTGAAGTTTAGGTTTAATTACCACGATAAAAAAAGTTGGGTAATTCCAATTGGTTTGAAATTTGACATAATATAAGATAATAATAAGAAGACAGGCCCTATTGTTATTGGTACATGTGTGAATATGCTAATTGTTCATTCGCATAAAATTAATATTTCACTTAGGCAATTTTGGTTAATTATCACAATAACTAAATGTTGTTAACTCTTACTAATTTAAAATTAGGCAGAATGCAAGATATTATTAAGGATACAGAGCATATTGTTTTTTGTACATGTGTGAATGTGCTAATTACTCATTTGCTTAATTAATATTTAATTAATCGGGTAATTTAGACTCAATAACTAAAGTTTGGTAAGTCAGATTTATGTCAAAGTGGGCAGAACGTTAAATACCATCATAATTCCCATAAAAACTTCTAATTTAGTTGAAATTTTTAATATTTCTTTATCGTGTTGTCATTGTCACTGGTGTAGAAAATTGTTCGTTACCACGATAACTAAAGTTTGGTAAGACTGATTGCTTTCTAACTACTACCCATCAATTTTCAGAGAAAATTCACATTGGGGAGGCTATGCTTTTACTGTGCAGCGTAAAAGGAACATTTCTAGTTTTTTGTTTTTTTTATCCACTGTTGGCAAATTTCTGGAGCCATCACTGCACAAATAAAGAACTTACTGTACATTTATTTTGATGTTCATTTCAGATGTCTTGCATGACAATCAGTTAATGCTTATAAGTGATAATCTTGGTACTAATTGGAAATCATTTGGTGTGTACCTTGAAATGAAATGGAAAGATATGAAGATACTTGAAGAAGAGAATCAAGGCAAGCTCCTAGAATCTTGCATGGATATGTTGGTGTTGTGGCGGAAAAAACAGTCTGTTATGACTAATCAAGTATGTGCCATGTCCGGACTACTTAAAAAGCATGGATTTACTGATGTAGCTAATAAGCTAAAATTCTCATGACAAATCAACTGCAATCCATAAGCCTCATTATGAGGTTTAGTTTATAGAGAGCATCATATGAATATTATGTTTGTCATGTCATGTGATTTCTATCATCTCTTTGATTAAATCTTTATTAAATCAAGTGCACAACTAACAACCATATTTAAATGGTAATATTTAAATAACAAAAGCATTTAAAAAAATGAATTATGTACATTAAGCCATTAAGTTTACTTTATTCAAGATTCAAGATAATTTTATTGTCTGAAAAACTCAGAAATTATGTTCCACTGGCAGTGTTACAAGTGTTAACAACATATACACATTAAACTTTAATTAAATTAGGTGAAAATTGCACTTAAAACCACAATTATCTATTATTATTATTATTATTATGAAGATAAAAGGAATTACATTCAAAGCAAAGCAATGCTTGTGGTAGGTCTTTACTGAATTGTTTCTTAGCAGTTTTAATTATTCAGTAAAATCTTTGATTTAGAAAATGTGCAGGCAAATAACATACCAGATAATGAACTTAATATTAAAAACAGTCATTTTATTATACATTTAATGTTTAATAGTTTAGTTTAAATTTTAAATTATTTTTTCAGTCTTTACTGAATTGTTTCTTAGCAGTTTTAATTATTCAGTAAAATCTTTGATTTAGAAAATGTGCAGGCAAATAACATACCAGATAATGAACTTAAAATTAAAAACAGTCATTTTATTATACATTTAATGTTTAATAGTTTAGTTTAAATTTCAAATTATTTCACAGTCACATTCATATTTACATGTATGATTACAATAGAAAATTTAAAATTGCTAGTACAAGTACATGTTTTACTAGAATTAAATTAACTTTCTATCATCTAAAGGTGTCCCTGCTGGACACCATCCCGGTATGAGTCTAGGTTTTGGGACCAGAAGATTATTTTTTGACATGGTGAATCAAATCATGATAAATAGACCTATTTATACTTAATGACAGTAAGAAATGAAGTAATTTCAAATTTGTTCTATATTTTCAATAAACTGAATGTGCAAGTTCTATTTGAAGTTCAATATTAATTATGATACTGTACAGTAAATAAATTGATTGATTGTTTGTTTGTTGCTTGAAGTTAAGTCATTTAAAAAAAAAAGAGGTTGCGTCAGAGAAAGTACAGTTGGGATTACAAACGATTTGAGTTGTTAATTATTGGTTTGGCCAAAACCTGACCAGCCGGATTGCTTCCGACACCCTTGTACTACTAATAGTTATGTTATGGTCCAGTGAAGAAATGAATACATTTTGGTGACGATCCGACGTAGGGTGTGGCTATGAGGACCACTCAAAAGAAAACGTCCAAGACCAAATATTTCAAAACTTTTTCAGAATAGTTGTTCATGGTCCAATGAAGAAATAATCAAATTTTGGTGATGATCCAGAAAATAGTTGATCTTTTTTTGGACAGTTGATTAAGTTATATAAATGCAATTTGTGTTTTCCAAAGTGTTTAAACCAGCTGCAGCTAGGTGAAACCACTGATCTTTACTGTAATAGTAGAGATCAGTGGGTTAAACGCAAAGTTACCGTGCTGTGCTTGAACAAGTTTTAGTTTCAGTCACTGAATCGCTATGAATGAAAAATGTACTGACCTACACAAGGTCGGCTCATATAGCGCGCAATGGTTGATGTGCCTCACTGTTACCATTGCAGCAATAGTTTGAGTCTCACTAACGTCACGGTAGCTGTGAACTTGGTTTTCATTGTGTTTTTTTTTTTTTTTTTTACTTCATATTTTTTTTAGTACTGTACTATCTATCTTATTTTGGTATTCAGTGTGTTTTTTGTTTGTTTTTTGTTTTGTTTTTACTTTTAACAACTTTTTTTTTGCAAATTCAACTTCACTTCTCATTATAGCAATGAGGAAAAGATCTATGTTCTGTTGTACAGACATAGAAAGTCTAGTTATTATTATTATTAAAACCAAGCTTTACTAAATTTTAGTGGTAGGTGGTCAGATTCACACATATCTATGATATTAAATTTATTGTATTGTAAGTATCCACTTGCAATTATGTTGCAATCAGTTACACATTTTCCTTGATGGCCTAAAAATGTAAAGAAACCAATTCCTTCATCGTTCCCAATATTACCATTTAAAATTCGCTTATAATTTTTACAGAATTCAATTAGCTTTTTTCCCATATGCGTTTGTAAATTTATCTATTGAAATGCGTGCTGGTGGATTACTAATATCTATATTTTCAGATTGTGGAATATGATTAAAGTCATTATGCTCAGCAGTCCTAGAATTGAGATCTCCAGCCAATACAAAATATATTTAAACATAACGTTCAATTTTAAATATATCTATTTCTAATTGCTGATATAATGTAAAATTCGAACTTTGACCCTGTAGGAGGTGCATACACAAATGCTAAAAATATACACATTCCTATATTTGTCATTAAATTTTAACATATTATGATTACATTTTTATAAATTAATTTCTGTAACGCTTTGTTGTTTTTTTCTTTATTATTAGAGTGAGTCCCCCGAAAAAAAAATTGTTTCCCTTTAAGACTTTCTTAAATATCAGTTCAGTTCTCTCCAATGAAAGAGTTTATTCAGTATATCGGGGCCTCAAGCCGTACAATACAAATATTAGTTCCATGTTCTTAAGGCCAAATCAGGCAGCGTCGGCCGACGCAGCCCGACCCGATTTATCGTCGGGGACAGTCTTAAGCCGTCGTGAGAAATATTAAACATGTTTAAAGCCCCATTCCCGGCAAAATTTCACTAAAAACTGACTTTTTTTTAGAAAATATGCATTTGCATTACTTCAATTATTATAAATCATGGAAAAATATTGGCATGAATTTTAGTTTTACGCAAAAGAATAAAAAAAATGAGAAATACAGACTATTTCTCATAAAATATTACCATTTTCTCGACGAATTCATCGTTACTTGGCAAATTCAGAGGTTGTAGATCGCATCCACTGGAATACTCTCGCTTTTATGTATGCTTTATACAGTCAATAAAGGCGCCCTCTCTAATGATATTAGTTTTTGTCAAAGATCTTATAAACACAAGATAGCGTTCTCCGCGATTTACGCGTGCAAATTCTGTAATAAGGCATGAATGGCGCCCTCTTGCTAAATTGGAAACTTTTGACCCTTGACCGCTCTTACCACACAGTACACCGCGCGACTTTACCTTTAGGGTATCAATCCTGCGAACAGCAGAACAGGAACCATCTCAGATCCATGGCAACAGATAGGACGCCCTCTTCCAAAGCTGATTACTTTTTCTCATAGAGCTATTAAACAACTAGAGTGCTGACAAGATGGCGGAGCAATGCAGAGTTGTGTATGTGTACCATCCAAGATGGCTGCCGTAGGAAAGCGCCACCTTCAGGCTTAGTATACATCTCTGGAGGGTCCCCAGGCTTAGTATACATATTATTACCATAAATAAGCCCTCTGACTGAATATTATTTCATTAATGATAATTAGTATTGATAATGACAAATTATTAAACTGTCGTAGCCAAAAAGAAGCCAAGTTGAGCATCTTATTCAAATATTAAAAGAATTAAAATTGTGTACATTACACCCACACACCGCAACGCTCGAGTTTCAAAATACGGGTAACTAGCTGTACTGAACTTTCCTGTGTAATTGAGGGCATAATTGAAAATGATAGTGCTCAGGGGAAATTTGATTGGCTGAATCTATGGCAGCCATCTTGGATGGTACACACACAGAGCTCTGCGTATTTCGAACATCGAATACATTGCTGTTAGCGCTCTAGTATTTTTATTATATATCTCTATGCTTTTTCTCTTTGGTATAATAGCGCATGAATGGCGCCCTCTTGCTAAATGGGAAACTTTTGAACCTTGACCGACGCTTCTATTTGTTACGCGTAAATCGCGGAGAACGCTATCTTGTGTTTATAAGATCTTTGGTTTTTGTACTTCGCATCTCGCACAATGCGGTCGTTCGGTTAGGCTGAGATATGTTTGTTTAAAGCCCCATTCCCGGCAAAATTTCAGTTTTTAAGAAAAATCTAATTTTTGTATAATGTTATAAAGGTTTATAAATATAATACGGAATTGCTAGTTTAACTGAATTTAGACATTCCTAAGAATGAAAAAAATGTAAAATAAGACTGAAATTTGATTTTGTGTGTTCCACACAAAAAATAAATGCGGATGAATTTTTCATGTTGATTTTGCGATAGGTCGTGAGAAGAAATATCGTAGGCGCCGAAAACATTAGCCTATCCAACGCTGCTAGGCTAGGCCTAGCCTTACCTCGATTTAGGTTCTGTTATCACACATAAAAACGGCCGACATGATATTTTCCGTTGCTAGTATTGGCACTTGTGAATATAATATTTCATAGGAATTATTTCAAATTTGTTAAAAAACTGATTCTGACTGAGATTTTGACACTTAAACAAACATATCTCAGCCTAACCGAACGACCGCATTGTGCGAGATGCAAAGTACGAAGTACAAAAACTAATCTCACTAGAGAGGGCGCACTTTATTGAC